CTTAATTATTTGGTTTTATTTTATTTTTTTTATAAAAAAGAACTAATAAGTTTTAAATAAAATGACAGAAACAACAAAAAAAGAAGAAACAACAATAATAAATGGAACAAAAGAAAAACCAGTTTGTGAATTTTTCTATAAAATTGGAGCTTGTAGACATGGAGATGCGTGTAACAAAACACACATCAAACCAGAGTCATCTCAAACTTTACTTTTTACACGAATGTATCAAAACCCAAAAAAAAGAATTGACGATGGAGAAGCACTTGAACGAGATGAAAAAAAAATTATGAGAGAATTTAATGAATTTTATGAAGATGTTTTCAGAGAGTTAGAGAATTATGGAGAAATACTTGACTTTATTGTTTGCGGAAATGACAATGACCATATGATGGGAAATGTTTATGTAAAATATGATACTGAAGAACATGCAGCAGCAGCTAAGAAGGCTTTAACAGGAAGGTATTATGCAAAAAAAATACTTACTCCTAATTTTTGTAGAGTAACTGAGTTTAAAGAGGCTATATGTAGACAACAACAAATAGGAACATGTACAAGAGGTGGGATGTGTAACTTTATTCATGTGATTGAACCAGATCGTAACTTGAAATATGATTTGTTTAGAAAACAAAAATTTAGAAGAAGAAGAGAAAGAGCAATAAGGGAAGAAAAAGAACAACCACCAGAATTAATCAATAACACTGATGACCATAGAAGGTGTAGAGAAAGGTATAGTAGGTCTCGTTCAAGGAGTGACTCTAAAGAAAGGCACTATCGAAGAGACTCTTATAACCGTTACTATTCCTCTAGGTCAAGAAGTGCTTCAAGAGATAGACATTACAGAAGACATCCAACAAGTCATGAACATTCTTCTTCAAGGAGAAGATATTATGATAATTAAATATTGATCTTTGTATTAAAACCAAGTTTCATTTTTAATTAAACAATAAACTTAGAAAAAAAGAATAATATTTAATCACTCCATTCATCATCGTCATCATCATCGTCGTCCTCATCATCAGCAATATCATTCCTTCTTACTTCCATAGCTTTTCTGAGCATAGAGGTCAAATCTTGTTTTCCTGCATCACTAACAACAGGTGCGGCAGTGTCTAATTTTCTATCAGCAGCTGATCTAAGAGTAATACCACTTCTAATATCAGCTAACAAATTTCCATTTGCTGGTGCTGGTGCAGCAGTTTGTCTTGCTGGAGGTGGTGGTGGTGGGTTACCAGCTGAGTTGGTTGATCTTATAGGAGGAGGAGGTGGTGGGTTTCCAGCTTGTTTGGGAGGTGCAATTGGAGGAGGTGGTGGTGGATTACCAATAGCAGGAGCTACTGGGGGTGGTGGGATATTATCCATCATTGGAGCAGTTGGTGGAGGTGGTGGAATATCAGCTGGAGCAGCTGGTACTGGAGCAGTAGCAACGGTTGGAGTTGTAGGAGCAGCTGTACGTGGACTAGAACGAGCAATAGGAGTAGGTGGTGGTCTACGGTCTGGTACAACGATGTCTTCTACTTCAATAACTTTACTTAATTTATCTTCTTTATTTGCTCTTGATGCTTCTAATTGGTCAAGTAAGTCTTTTGGAACAGTTCCTTGTTGGACGGCTTGTTTGACGGTTTGAATCAAAGTTTCAACAATAGTAGGGTCAGCAAGATGTTTTGGTTTCACACCAGCAGCTTTCAAAATTTCTTTCAATTCAGGTGACAACCAAGTAGTATTAATCATTGATTGTTTCTTCATAGTAACTAAACTTCTATATTTTTGTGGAAGTCCTTTAGATGTCTTAATTAATTTTTGCATATCCTCCATATTAGCTGAAATAATTAATTGAGACTTATTATCAGTATCAGTTTTACAAATAAATAACTTTCTAAAACATTCAAATAATTGACCATAAGTTCCTCTAAACATTGAAAGTGAGTCTTTTAATCCATTCATAAGGAAATGTTGATATTCACTTTCTTTTTTAGTAACAGCAGTAATGGCATCAGCCAAGGCTTTTGGGTCTTTTGCTTGAAGCTTTGTATTTTTACTAACAGAGCTTAATTTCTTTTCAACTTTAGACACTTCATCTACTTCTTTTTTCTTTTGACTTTTATATTCTTTTTCTTTAGCTTCAATTTCTTTTGGGAAAGTAGTAACATCTCCTCTAATACAAGAGCAAGTACTTCTAAATTCATCACATACAGACATCAAATTTTCTTTCCACATCTTTAATACATTAGACATATTTTTTACTCCAACTTGAAGGTCTGGATGAGTTTGTTGACCTCCTTCTTCTAATGAAGTATCAGCCATCGCTTCAAGACAATTATAAAGTGTGTCAGTAGCTTTAATCATTACAAGTTGTGCCTTAAAATATCCTTCACATGCATCAGCTAATTTTTTATAATTTGGTATAATTTTTTTCATTAATTGATAAGTTTCTGTTGTACATCTCTCTATCTGGACTACTTCATCTTTTGTCTTAATATCCGTTTGTTTGTTAGACATTATTTTATCTTATTTTTAAGTTCTGTTTTCTAGTTTTTATTATTCTCTTTTTTTCTATGTTCAACTTTGTTCTATTTTTTCTCATTTATTTATTCTATTTATTCCAATTTTTTTTTTGAACTTATTTTTCCAATATTTTATTTACACCAAACTTTGTAAAAAAATCATACAGCACTCTGAATTTTCATGAATTTTGTAATGAAACAAAAAGATTGTCCTGAATTGAGATAAACGATGTTGGTATCTAAAAAACAAAAAGATAAAAGGTTATTGAAGATGTTGACTTATATATTTTGAAAAATTTTCAAAAGTGATCATATTAAAAGAATTGCTTGACGTAAGCAATTTTTGAATAACGATTGGAGACGATGGAAGTTTAAATTGAATAAGTACTTTTTCAAGCGTTTCTTTATCCATCAAATTGCTTCCATTTGGGACGTAGAAATAAAAGAAATTAGTAAGGAGTTTATCAATATTGATTTCTCCAGAATCATCTTCATTCATTGATGCTTCTAATTCTTGACATAAAACTACAAATCTATTTTCATCAATAAAGTCATTTTGTTGATTTTTAAGAAATCCAATATGAATAGCTTTTTGGTTATTAGGAGAACATTGATGCCATTGAGTAATAAATATTTCTCCAACTTCAGTTTCATTAAGAAGTCCATCTCTATTAGTGTCATACACTCTAAATAGCTTAATTGCCTTTCTTGCGTTCTTTCTTAGGTGTTCCTCAATTGAATCATCCATCTTTAATTCGTCATCTTCAGTCATTAAATATACAAACTCATTTTCATCAATTAGTCCATTTCTATTATCGTCGTACATCACTAACTCATTAATAGCTTCTTGCTCACTACTAAAAGGTTGTCCCATTTTACTGCATAATGTTTGAAGGTCATCTACTCCAATTTCTTTTTTTCCTTGAAGTTGGAAACAAATACGACATAAGGCAGGGTCATTTTCTATTTTTCCATTAGTAGAGTCTAAGAATTTCATAATCAAACTAAATTGTGTTTTGGTAATAAATCCTTGGTTGTGTATATCTGCAACAAAAAATAAAAATTTAAATGTTTCTTGACTTGTTGAATAAGACTCTCCTAATTTACATTTGATAGTAGCATCAAACAAGGCAAAAGTAATTTGTTCTGAATCATTTGAAGTTAAGTGGTCATTAACAATAAAGTTGTTGTTTGGGATTTTAATTGGTTCTTTAAAAGAACATTCAACAATATCAGCAGGAACTCTTGCATCTAAATTCTTTAAATACTTTTCAATATCAAAAGTATGTTTATTGACGAATACTTTCAAGATACTAAGCATCTCATCTAATTGTAATACTCCATCTCCATTTTCATCTAAATCATTAATATATTGTAATACAACTTTCTTTTTTGATTCCATTCCAGAAGCCTTTAACATTCTTGTTAAATCGTTATTATCTAATGAAGCAGAACATGACTTGTCAAGAGTTCTAAAAGTACAAGTCATTAAAACTTCGGTTGTAATTCTTCCAATTTTAGTTTTAATATAATTAATTTCACGACGTACTTTTACATATTCTTCTCTTGATATTGTTTTTTTATCTTTTGAAGAAAGAAGAATAAGTACAGAAAGTTGTGTTTCAATACCTTTACGTTCATTTAATGGAATGTCCTTAATCAGTTCTTGAACAACATCTTCTTGCAATGCTTTTCCTTTCTTTTTTGGAAGTAAATCATATCTTTTTGAAAAGTCAGTAAATTCTATAACTTTTAAGTAATCATTAATAGGGATAGAATTAATTTTATAAATTGAATCAAATGCACCAAGAAATTCATCTAATTGTAAAACACCATCCCCATTTTCATCATTTTGTTTGATATATTCTTTAATCTTTTTAGAATTTTTTTTATCACCAATTCTTTTGAAAAAGTCTGATACTTCTTTACTATCAAGTGAATAATCATAAGAGGAGTCTAATGAAAAAAATGCAGCCGTAATAATTACTTGACCATTTAGTTCTCCTGTTTTAAAATATAAATTATCTAAGTGTTGCATTGTTTTCACAAAAGTTTCAACACTAACATCATCTGACTTTGAAGTTATTCTCCACAACATTGAAAGTAATTCTTCACAATTAGATGTTTTATTACTAAATGTTTCCATTGTTAAATTAACACAACGAGCAACAGGAATTTTATTTTTTTTTATCATTGAGCTTGCTCCATTGAATTGAATTATAAAACTTTCTCTTGACATTTATACTTAACTAGTCTTTTTGAGTTTTTATAAAAAACGAAGATCCATAGGTTTTTATATTGTCTCTTTTCTTTGTCTCTACAACCTTTTTATTCCTCTTTTACAGTTTTTTTTTTCGGTATTTTTTATCTTTTTAAAAGACTTGAATGTTTCACATCAGAGACACTAAACAAACAGGAAAATAAATCAAAACATTGAATCACCAATGATCATCTGGTTGCGATATTACGTTTGGTTAGAAAATGTCTTACACAATACTGCCAGAATGGGATTGACTCTGATTTATTATAGGACGTCATTTATAATAATAAAAGAGTGTATATTTATAAAGACAATAGTAATACCTACTTGTTAAAATGCAAGTATATTTGTGAATATTGGTATAACTAAATAAAATGAATATTCATGTTTTTATTGAGACTAAAAGAAATTAATCATAATCATATAGTAGTGAGGTTATATTCTTCTTAAAACAAGAAAGTAAAGAAGGAGGAGTTTTAACACGTATTAAAATTAAGAAGAAACGTTACTTAAACGAGGAATAGTCTAGTTCTAGCATGTTTGAAAAAACATTAATTCAATCTAAACAAAGTAATGAATGAAGAGTCTCAATTCACACTTCTCAACATGAAAAAACTAAAAGGATTGAGTGGTTGTTGGGTATTTATTGTTAAGCTTAGAGCTAGGATAATTAATGGTGAGCAAAGAACGGTAGAAAATAAACTTAATAACACTTTTTAACCACTTTTCTTTATAAAATTTTAATATATAACAAAATAAATCAAAAAGATTGAAATTAAATTGTTATATAAAACAATACAAAATAATAAGTTATTTTAGTTAATTTCTCAGTCTTTTTTTTCTTCAACCTCACTTGATTTTGGTAGTTGTTCTTGTTCACTTACAACTTGACTGTCAATAGAAGCAAATTGTGGGTTTCTTGTGATATAACTATCATATAAACGATTGATAATTTTGTTCAGTGATAATCTTTGAGTGGCATTAACTTCTTTAATAGCAATTAACTTATCATACAAATTTTTTTCAAGTCTAATTCGAATAGTAGAGTCGTCATATTTTGTTTTCCATTGTCGTTTCTCACTTTCTGTTTTATCTTCATTTTTATTTGGTTTTGGACCTTTTTCTTTATCTTTATTCATTTGTTTGTTTTTAGTTGAAAACTCATCATTTTTTGTTTTTATTTACTTTTGTAATATATAACAAAATATAAATCTTGGTTTTTGATTTAAAATTTAAAAAAAAACAGTACATTACTAATAATATTAATTATTGTACTTGTCATCTAATTCTTGTGGCTGAGAGACATGTAAATCAAAATTTTTTTGATTTTAATTTTTAAAAGAATAGTTATTGATATTTTTGATAAAGGGGTGTTGATAAGATTGTTCTAATTCATTCTCATTGCAGTTGGTTAATTTAGTAGTAACTTCTTTTAATGAGTTTTTTATTTGTAATTAATATGTAAATTTAATTTACTTAAGAATTTACCAAAATTGTTATGAGTGTTGATATTCAAATGGATAATAAACAGTTTCTAATTTCAAAATAATAACACAAACAACAAACAACTCAGTTTTATTTGATATTTTTTATTAAAAAATCAAGAGGTTCAAAACAAAGTGAGATACATAGTATTTATATTTTATCATCAAGAATAGAACGAGCAAATAAATAATCTACTATTTTAAGAATAAATGTTCTATTTATAAATTTAATAAAATTTTGATGCTTTTTATTTTTATAAACTATACTCTTTTTAAAGTGAATATAATTTAATGAAGTTTGATATTATTCTTTAAAATTTTTATGTAATTTAAACATAGTCCATATTTTTTTGGCTCAGTGTATTTATCAAAACTATAAGAATCTATTACTAGATCAAACTAATATTTAAATAAACTATCTACTCATTTTGTGATTTTAAAGAAACCAATACATGTGAATAAATTATTATATAAACATAATTTCATCACAACATTTCTCTAATTATATAGACTGTGCTTTATTCTCCATATTCTTTAATTGAAACAGGATGAGTTAGCACTCTATTTCAATCTGTTTTATAAATAATATCAAAAACACATTTTTGATATTTTTTATGAGTTAAATTGAATATAACCCAGTTAACCTATTTAAATGGAATTGAAATTATGTCTTTTGAACTTCAGAGATGAAAAACTATTTGAAACAAGCAAACGAAGAAAGAATAGTCTTTTAAGTAATAAATGAAACACTATTTACTTGAAAATATGACAAACTTGAAATACAATAAATATGTATCTTATTCAATTTTCATCTATTTAAGACATATTATATTGAGAACGTTTGAAGCAAGAAGTTCATAGAACTGAATAGTCTCTTGTTTATTTTAACAAATGATTCAGTAAATTATAAATGAATAACGTGAACTGAATTATTCAAGTAGAATAAACGAATATTACTTCAATATTTGAGATAAATGGACAATGGATATATATCATGAAAATGTTAGATTATATAGAATGAATAGTGTCATGAATTCAAAATTCATCAGAAGTTAAAAAATCATTTCCGAGATATTGTGAATATAATATAAATATGAATTATATTCAAATAACAACCAGAGATTATCAACTCCAAAATTAATAAATACTATTAAAATAAAAATTAAATGAGACACCATACCTAAATTCGTTGATAAAATTAAAAAATATCATGTTAAACCTATTTCTTTAGGTATATTTGATTCTAACAAT